CTTGTTACAGCTTATAAAACCTTGGTCCAACCACACTTTGACTATTGCTCACAAATATGGGGATGCCTTGGAATTACGTTGCAAAATAAACTGCAACGCTTACAAAACAGGGCAGTCCGTATCATTACAAAGCGTGGTTATGACTATAGGTCTGTAGACATACTTAATGAACTTGAGATACCAAATTTGAGTGTTAAAAGAAATAACCAATTATGCACTACAATGTATCAGGTAAAAAATAGCTTAGTTCCTGACTATCTCATTGACCTTTTTACGAAAACAAACGCGGTGCATGACTATCAAACTAGACAGGCTGAGCATAATCTTCTACCACCTAAGCCAAATACAAATTTTGGTAAAAAATCCTTTTCATACAGAGGTGCAGTGGCTTGGAACAATTTAACATCTAATCAAAAAAACTCTGAATCTATAAAGTGTTTCAAAAGTAACTTGCTAACTAGTAATATGTCTTAGTGTGATAATTGTGATGAACAACTTAATAATTAGTAATATGTGTGATAATTGTAATTTTCACTTCCTCCTATATTCTATTATTTAATACTTGTATATAACTTAATCTTATTTTTAATTATAGACGTAAATGCACGGCCTATTGGAAGATCACTTTTCACTCTTGTAAATATTTCTTTCTTAAACCATTGTGAAATAGTACCGTGGATAAATAAATTGATAATAATAATAAGACATTGAGAATTATCTGTAGGTTTTTAGCCAATCACAATCAAGATTGCATTAGTAATGCATAATAATTAACATTTGGTGCATTATATATCTAGTTATCTTGCTGTCAATACTGACAGTTCCTTTACGTCAGGGACGTATCTCGCAAGGGGCGGTAAAATGTGTGACGCGATTTTGTCACGTCTCATGAAGGTTTAAATTGTTCACGATTACTGCCTGCATACTCATTCTTCGTTTCGCATTTCCTGAGGTGAGGCTATATAGTGGGCATTTAATAATGGATGTGTTCATCCTGGCTCGCATTTCTGCATGCCTATTCGTGATTGCGTGTGTATTTGATCATTCTGTCTCAGCGCAGTTTGATTTTCCAAAACAAAAAATGAAAGGCTTTGAGCGTAGAAATATGGCACCAGGTAGCAATGGAGAGAATTGTATCGGGAATGACACCGCTGTATTTCCTGGACTTCATTGTTACGTCGACGAAAAATATTCATGTCTTGAAAAAATATGCGGCCGACTGGATTTACTCCAACCAAAAGCTTCGATGTGGGAGTGTATAGAATATGATGCAAGTGGACCCTTTAGTATGCTCGGATGCTATTTAAATATCATGCGGGGTTATTGGATGGTCTCTAAATGCCCGTCAGATTCGCCGCCTTTAAACGAACTGAAGGGCAAGTGCGAGAAGGCGTCATCCCGCTTTCCGAAACCCGTAAAAGACGATAATATCCCGGTCGTCGGTGAGCATGGCTTGACATATCGTAATAAATATTGCGCTTTGTGTCATGGGGTGCAAAATTTTACTGCTTGGGACGTTTGGGTTCGTACAGACATTCGATCCGCGAGGGGGTATGACCTGGATTCTCAAATGAAGAATAATTTTTTTCTAGCAATTGGCGTTTTACCCAGGTGGAATCAGCCTCGGAGAGTATGTCTCGGAAGAAGTTATGTACACAACAGCAGTAAATCGACTGATAAATCGATACACAAGATATGTACGGAGGGTCCGTTCCATTCTCTTAATGATCGCTACAATTTCTGTAGAGGAGAACCATATTCTGGATCATTATGTCATGATAGGATATCGTGTCCAATTTCACTCGTTTTCAAATTAAAAGAGTACACTGTACCTATTACGAATTGCCCCCCTGGAACAGTCTATGATTCGACCTTAAATATCTGTCGAAAAAAGTCGATGATTCATTCCAGTCGTAAACTAACCAATGAGTATTTGTTTCTATTTTGGATCAAAGAGACTACATATGTGAAAAGATATTTCAAGTTAGCGTTGATTTCTGGGTTTTCGCTTAAGCAGCATCAAATTTCAAGTATTGTTTTCCACAAGCAAGGCACAATGAACAAAAAGTTAATCGTTGCAACATTCCATTTTACACTGACGGCATTTCAAAACTTAATAATGGATAATGAACAAAACGCTATATTGAACGTAACAGATGACGAGACAGCATTTTTAAAACTCTTCAACTACAGTGGAAATTTTACCCTTCGTTGGGAAAATAAGAGTTTTGGTGTGGTCAAAATGGTTTCAAAACAACTTTCTTGTTATGGTGAAGTGAAATTTCAATCAGATGAATACGAAATGAATGAGAGCAACACAAGCTTTGTTTTGATAAAGACGGGGAAGATATTCTCATTACAGGATTATAATTTTGTTCGAAAGAAGGGTGGAAATATAACACTGTGTCGTAAACTGGTTCTCCCAGACTGTAGAGAAGGTGCTTTTGTGCCTTTAAGACCAAATGAATACGTGGTATTTCCTAATTTGTCTGTTTATCACAATGCAATACAAAAAATGTTCAATTTTGGTGAATATCTAATCAGCGAAAGCAAAGACAACCTAAACATTCTCTATACAAGTCTAAATTCTAATTTACACAGAAATTCTACAGTTGCTGTTTGTTTACCTTTCAATATTACTGATGATAAAACCGTCAAAAAACATAGTTTTGAACTAGGAATTCTGACATTAATTGGTTTCATTGTCTCCATAATTTGCCTTATATTTCTTATGGTAACGTATGGATTGTTTCGAGAATTAAGAACTGTTCCAGGAATGAATTTAATGAGCTTGAGTCTCTCAATGTTGTTGTCAGATCTCATATGGTTGACAGGAACCAGTCATTTCACAGAGACAACAGCGTGTAAAGTTTTCGCGATATTGGAACACTATCTTTTCCTGGGGTCATTTCTGGCAATGTCCATTATTTCATATCATTCTTTTCTCGTTTTCTCTCGACCATTCGAAGGAAGACATTTCAACACGTCTTGGCCGAGGTTTATCAAGTATTCTGCAGTTGTGTGGCTGACTCCTGCGATATTTATCGCAATTTGTGTCGTCTTGGATGAAACAGAAGTATTCCCAGTGGATTATGGTACAAACTGCTGGTTGGGAACTGTAAACGGTATCTTGTATCTATTCTTATTACCCCTGGCTATATCACTCCTCTACAACATCTACACGTTCATCAAAACAGCTCATTTGATATGTCATCACGACGAGAGACGAGATATTTTACAACGCAAGAAAGGAAAACAAAATCTTCTCATCTGCATCAAACTTGCATCGTTGGTCGGTCTTCCCTGGCTGTTTGCGTTCCTTGGTGTCCTCTTTCCCGATGAAATAGCATTTGAATATTTGTTTGTGATCTTGGTTTGTCTGCAAGGATTGTACATCGGAATAGCGTTTGTGTTTAACAAGAAAACACTAGGTCTCTACAAAACACGACACAGGCGAATTCGTCCCAAAGGAAAAGCATCTCCAACAGCTGGGTTCAACTAACTTGAGTTGGCCGAAGTGTTTACCTTTTCAAATTCAAACCTCGTATGAACAGCTAATCTGAACCATTCTCGTCAGTTTATGAAAATACATTGGACACGTATAAATCGGGATGAGGTTCTTTTCGTATATCCTATTTAATTCCTTGTTTCCATTTAGTTGTGAGTGTCGTGAACATGTCAACCTGGCTGATGTGATAGAATACTTCAATGTCTATGCAGTCAAAAATTACCGATTTGAATACAATTATAAAGACAAATTTAAATAAGAACTATTTATCATCGGTGACGATGACTTGTTTACGACGATTACGAGTGAATGAGGACCAGGCTTAGATCTTATTTAGGAGACTGGCTTGAATTTTATTTTAGGCTCCTCTCAGCAAAATGTTTGACGTAGCTATTCAACAAAATCAATGTTAGACGTAATATATTAATTTTACGTTCATAGTATAGTTGAATTATCATATAATAGTATATAATTAAGTATGCACATTGACCCAACAGTTAACTTTAGTATATCTCGAAGAATAGAATAGAAGAGTACTCGATAAGTTTATTTAGAACAAATCGCCTTCGTGCAATAGCTACATTTCGACATTAAAAAGATATATTCCTATATATTCCTAAAAGATGTTAATAGTAGTGATAAGGACTAAGTGATAAAGACTAAAAGATGTTAATAGTAGTGATAAGGTCAATTCAGGTTTGAATATAGAAAGTAAATAAAGCCTTGTCCACACGGTCAAATTTTCTTTGACAAATTTCTGTTATGGAAATTTGTATAAAGTTGTCACCGCAAATGCATTTATACAAAAGATCGAATTTTAGGCAATTTTAGAAAGAGTTTTTTGTTGGTCAGTGTTCTACATTTGGTAAAAACAAATCAATTATTGCCAAAATGGCATGGAGGTTGTACTTTGAGGCATATCTTTTTTGCATATCGAAAAAATCAGTTGTTGGATTTATTGATATTGATGAATGTAGATTACGTGATAGACGTGGTCAAGCTAATTTTTCAGCTTTCTCGGTAGGCGATTCAGAGTACCACCATTACAATATTTAAAAAAAACATTGTCTCAACTTAGGATGTCTACAAGTACAAGACGATACTATTTTATTATATTCGGTGGTAGTCGACCATAGACCAAACTAGGAAAATAAGAAAAACAATTTTTCAAATCATTCAATCAACAATCGTGTGTAAACCCAACACTGTAAAAATAGTGATTAATCTAAAATTGATTACCTCAAATTCATTTCTTGGACAAATTTTTTATTGGTTGAAAACAACTAAAAAACTTGGTTGAAACAACCAATTTGGTTGAAACAACCAATTTTTTTCGTGTTTTTTAAATAAAATTGATCGAAAAAGATGAATATGATACAACCAACTTTAAATTAGTTTTTTATATTTTTTACAGAGCATTGTCATTTATATTGATTTTCGAGACGTAGATTATTTCTCGTTGATTTAATTTCAAACATCGTGTTTTCTACAGATCTAACCGATAGAACTTTGACCAGTTGCTCTTCAGTCATGGAACGTGTTTCAAGCCTTGCGGATTCAGCGTATGGCACAGAAGACACACTACTAGGAGAGACGACCTCACAGGCAGATTTTTACAGCGATCCTTTCTCTTCAACACTCACACCAGTGAAGGATGTTTCTAGTAGCCCAAGCAAGGAAACAACGGGTCCAATGCCAAAACGTGAGTACACATTGCTTCCTATTCTCTACCTTTGTCATGATGCTGTTTTGTTGTAAACAAAATTGTTTCAAGGCGAAGAACTGCGGAATAATCATCAGCACCAACCATAAGGTTTTGTTTAAAATCTGCTGCAATTAATAGCTAATTTTGCGCTGAGTTTGGGAAGTATCAAAAAGTACTTCGAAACACTTCGATAATGTGAGATCTTTTGGAAACATTTAAATGAATCAGCCTCGATTTGAAGGATCACTGTATCATTTTTATCAGCGTGTAGTTAAGTCCATATTCATAAATCGGCTACCTATAGTGATATAGGTTTTATTCAGATGTGCAACTACTCGATCAGGTTGGCGTTGTCAGAGTCTTCAGGCGTCTTCAAGAGTCTTCAGGCGTGTATAATTTTTTTAGCCTCTCATAATTGTTTCATATTTCCGTATATTGATCGAAGTATCCTTATGAGGTACAATGAATCACGTAAAATCCCACTGCTTTACGACTACTATGGTCCTAATAATCAATTTATCGGCAATTATTAATCGACCAATTCTTTATTCAAAAACAAAGATTTTGCAAATTTCTTGGTTGAAGTCGCACGACAGGTTCTCTCAAATAAAATGACGGGCAATCCCGACACACTCCGGGCAATTGTCTTCCTCACATAGCATTTTGGGAAAGATAAAACCGCGCATATTAACCGCACTGCTCCAAAGTTCCTCAAAATACCAGAATAACCGCAGAATATTATGTTACACAAACAAAAACAAAGGCCCGTCAAAGCAAAAAGCCAAGAACATTTATTCCTAACCAGCGGTTAATAATGAATTATTTCATAACTGAGACTCAACTTTAACAGTATCATAATAAGTAATCAGATCAATGAATTTATTATAATTCCATTTTAAAAATCATACTTTTTTAACTTAAAATAAAATCTTTCCTACGAGTTTAAAGTCTGTGTGCAAAAGTCTAGAGATTTGGAATTAAAATTGATAACTATTTTTTAAAAAAGGCCTTAGCGAACGTGCGATATGGAATCCTCCCACTTTAGCACTAAACATCGATGGTTCGTGAGATTTGAAATCAATCATTCGATTTTGAACACCCAACCATTTAACTCAACCCACATGCATATATGCAACTTCCACTTCGTCTTTTCTACGTTTTCCGTTTAATTCTTCCACTTTGTCTAATGTTCTTCGTCTTTTTGATCTTCTTCATCTGTAATCTTTCATTTCTAAAATTGATCTTCCAAAATTCTCAGCTTACATAATGTATTATTTTCTAAGTGTTGTTGGATATAGACGACGAATTTCACACGGGACAGAATTCGGAGGATATCCATGTCCTGCAATTAGATCTTGTCTCCCACGATGGTGAGAAAGAAAATAACCACAGGCCATCATTTTCGGAAGAAGGTGAAAGCCAGGGGGAAAGAGATGAAGTCTTTCTTAGCCCTACTTCCAATTTTAGCGATGGAAACATCCTTAAACGATCATTTGAAGGGAACACAGGCTTAGACGAACATCTTATTCTCGACCCTATTGAAAACACACAAAAGGTCCCATCGTCGCGAAAAAGACACAAACGGAAGCTTGTGATTGACGAAGTTATCTCGATTGAACGAGAAGTTATATTTAATAACATAAACAACCCATCTCAACTCGTTACATCTCCAGTTTTCGGCCCTAAGACAAAACGTCGATTGAAAGAACTTGACCGCAGTCATTCACTTCAGGCGAATGGGTCAGTTCTCGAATTATCACCTGCTTTGGATAAGCTGTTTGTGATGAACTCAAGTTGTCGAAAATTTTCAACTTCGAATGTCGGTACCGACGGAACGGATTGTTCAAAACCAGCAAGCGAACCTTGTGAGAGTTTGAATGAAAATGATATCAAGCAGAAGAAAGATTTGCTTGGGGAAACATCGAACCATGATGATGAAGACGCTGTAAAATCGGACGAACATGATATTTTCTCTCAGTTTATTCCACTACAAGACGTTGACTATTCGTCCGACGAAGATAGCCCGAGGCCAGGTGATGATAATTTTCAGTGTGGGTTAGTTTTCGACCAAATTGCGGAAGAAAATACGGTAGAAAATATGGACCAGGCATTGGAGGACGAGAATATCTCCGAAGACAAATTTTGTTCGCACGTCGAAGCTACGGTTTTGGAGTCCCAACCTGAGCCAGTGGAGTTACGGCATGCTGTTGGAAGTGATGGTAAAAAGTTGACGCGAAAAACCGTCGCGAGAAGGTTTCTGAAGTGTCTACTTATGCAAAGAGATGCACGATTATCTCTGGAGCAAGATGTTAGCTTTGGAGAGATTCTGCTTCATCCTGGATCGAAGCACTCAACCTAAGAATGAAAAGCTGGGATAATGTGATCAGGGATATTGGAAAAATATCGCGGATAGTTTTTATTTAGCCTAAAAATAAGACTTGATCAGAATATTTTCCCGAAACGTTTGCACGGTAAGCAACCATAGGAACAAAACCTATACATTATTTACTTGTTGAGAGGTAAAATTTTTAGGCCACTTACCGCTGTTTTGACGTTCAAAATTCAGTGTTCTGACTTTCTCATTGAACTAAGATAGATGGAAGGCTACCTGAATAAAAGGTGTTTCCGGGTAGAACCAAGTCTTTCCACGCGATGTAAGCGCACGGGCAAGTAATTGATACACGACAACACGCGAATTTAAACTTACTTGTTTGTCTGGAGGTCGAATATGGCTTCAAGCAAGTGGAAGTTTGTTTTCCTTGTGATAGCCTTCTGTTTATTTCCGTTCAATGCATCAGCCAGATGTGGCACTGATCTATGTATAAATAAGTAAAAGCATAAAAATGATTAGATATCTACATTCGTGCATTCACTGATCATCGATGACATCATCAATCACGTGATATCAAAGGGAATAAGACACGAGAAGATTTTCCGGATTGATTTCAAATACAACAAAAATAGTTGCTGAAATTTGAGAAATTAATTATAAAGCATGCTGGATGTTGCTGATCAGTGGTTGATAATGTTGGATACTTTTGATCATTGATTGATAATGTTGGGTATTATTGATCAGTGATCAATAATGTTGGGTATTGTTGATCATTGATTGTTAATATTGGGTATTCTTGATCAGTGATTGATAATGTTGGGTATTGTCGACAGATAAGTGGCTGATAAAGTTTTGTATTGTTGATCAATTATTGATATGTTGGATACGTTTAATCCTGTGAAATATCTTATACTCTGATATAAGGTTTTTATAAAGCAAATGATGCACGTTGTTTTTAAGAAAGAAAACTTAACACCATAATCACGCTATATACATTGGGAAAAACTCATTAATTTAACGTACTGAACATATACTATACGTTTTTACACGCGTGTCACTATGCATACTGCAAATATATTGTTAGAAAAACGAAATTTTGTGTCTTTATGGGCAGAATATTGAAACCTGATCAAACCAAAACAAAACCAGACTTGATTATTGGCAGAATATGTATTTTTGTAACATATTGAACGAGGCTTATGACCGCCATTTTGTTGTCAGTTTGTGGGCAATATGGCTGCCGTTGGCTTTATTTTTCTTCTCGTGTTTCAATGTCAAATACGGTGAATACAGTGCCAGGCTATATTATGATAAATCTTATCCCGTTTCTTGGGTATTTTACCAAGAGGGTTGAGCAAAAGCCTACTGAGTACTGTTTGTAAAGACACGGAATTTCGATATCTTTATATAAAATAAGGGGAAACACATGCAAACTGTTTGTAAATATTTTATTGATTATATTTAAAATTATGTTCGTAGTCCAAAAGTCATTTTTTTCGAATTATTGTCGTAAATGGTGTATGTTTGTTACTGTTGGTGTATTACTGTATTGATACGATGTTCGGTTGTTAATTGCATTTTCCAGGCTTTACTCAACATTATATCTAGTCAAGGCATGCAGTACAGCAAATGTTATCAAACATTTGTACAGGCTTTTTATTAACTTCCTATTTGCCAACGCTTATGAAATAACTGTACAAGCTTTTTATTATTTTCTTATTTGTCAACGCCGAATTGGCAACATTTTGCTGGGACCATTATTGGAGAAAAGCTGTTAGAATTTCCAATAACATTCTCTTTTCTCTACTGCAGAAATAGTTGTTCTCTACTGCAGAAGTACTTGAGTTAAAATATTTTAGTTTTTCGTTTGTTGTTTGCTGACTTTGAGAGTTAAGGTATAAAAAATTATCCTACTGAGCATCTCATGAGGGGCGTATATCTTACAAGGAGAACCTCAATAATTTGACCTTGAATGATTTTTCCACCTGTCCTGTGAATTCTGCTTTCCTCCATTTGGACAAAACATGTTGACGTAATGACGTTGGTGATATATTTATAGAAACAAGATGTCTTAAAAAACGGAACCGCCGATAATAACTGACTTTTATGTAGGATATATGAAATTTAGGGATATGAAAAAGCAATTCATTAGCTTTCCGATGACACTTATTTAATAACAGAAAGAATTCCAACACACCGAAAAAATAGAAAATAGTATTCGAAAACAATATATTATGAGCTTGATGAGTGAATGCGCCAATAATAATGTCGATTCAATTTCCCTGCAGAGGTTTTCGACCGCCTGTAATGTATTATAATTTCAATTGACGAAACATTGAGTTACAAGTTCGTTCTAAGATTGTTCTTGGAATCGTTATATTATATTTATCTCTTGAAAGAAGACATTTAATATGCAGATTTAAAGCCTCGCATCTCTTGGATAAACTTGCAAAAGTAAACATGGAGACCATGAATAAGATATCTGAGTCACCGAACAGTATCTTAACACGTAAAATTAAGTAGAATACACCTCACAGTATAGCATATTTTATACATATTAGCTAAGAAATGTTTTTCTATTGATATATAAAGAAATCGTAAATTGTTGATAACTTGTTTGATCGATACTGCTAAATTACAAAACCACAGTTCATTACCGTTCATGCAACTATCTATTTGCATTCTGTTTTCTGAATGAGAAGCAGGACAGAACTATAAAATAATCGATCTATAAAAGTTGTCAAGCATTTGTACAGGCTTTTTTATTATTTCTTATTTGTCAACGCCAGTCTGGAAACCTTTTGCCGGGACCGTTAGTGGAGAAAAGGTGTTAGAATTTTCAATGACATTCTGTTCTCTCTACTGCAGGGATAATTGTTCTACTCGAGTTAAAATATTTTAGTTTTTCTTCTGTTGTTTGCTGACTTTGAGAGTTGAGGTATAAAAAATTATCCTACTGAGCATCTCTAAACGTGAGGGGCGTATCTTACCTCAAGGAGAACCTAAATAGTTTCATCTGGAATTATTTTTCCACCTGTCCTGCGAAGGCTGCTTTCCTCCAAAACGATTTCTGTACCTGCGTGTTCTCAGAAATTCACGATTTAGACATATTATTGTCGTAAATGCTTTATGTGTATTACTGTTGGTGTATTACTGTATTGATGTTTATTGTTAATTGCATTTTCCAGGCTTTACTCAACATTATATCTAGTCAAGGCATGCAGTACAGCAAATGTTATCAAACATTTGTACGGGCTTTTTATTAACTTCCTATTTGCCAAGGCTTATGAAATAATTGTCCAAGCTTTTTATTATTTTCTTATTTGTCAACGCTAAATTGGCAACATTTTGCTGGGACCATAATTGGAGAAATGGTGTTAGAATTTTCAATAACATTCTCTTTTCTCTACTGCAGAAATACTTGAGTCAAAATATTTTAGTTTTTCCTTTGTTGTTTGCTGACTTTGAGAGTTAAGGTATAAAAAATTATCCTACTGAGCATCTCTTAACGTGAGGGGCGTATCTTACCTCAAGGAGAACCTCAATAATTTGACCTTGAATGATTTTTCCACCTATCCTGCGTATTCTGCTTTCCTCCATTTGGACAAAACATGTTGACGTAATGACGTTTGTGATATATTTATAGAAACAAGATATCTTAAAAAACGGAACCGCCGATATTAACTGATTTTATGTAGGATATATGAAATTTAGGGATATGAAAAAGCAATTAATTAGCTTTCCAATGACACTTATTAAATAACAGAAAGAATTATTCCAACACACCGAAAAAATAGAAAATAGTATTCGAAAACAATATATTATGAGCTTGATGTGTGAATGCGCCAATAATAATGTCGATTCAATTTTTGGCAGAGGTTTTCGACCGGCTGTACGATATATTATAATTTCAATTGACGAAACATTGAATTACAAGTTCGTTCTAAGATTGTTCTTGGAATTGTTATAGTATATTTATCTCTAGAAAAAGGACAGTAACATTTAAAATGCAAATTTAAAGCTTCGCATCTGTTGGATAAACTTGCAAAAGTAAACATGGAGACCATGAATAAGATATCTGAGTCACCGAACAGTATCTTAACACGTAAAATTAAGTAGAATACACCTCACATTATAGCATATTTTATCCATATTAGCTAAGATATGTTTTTCTATTGAGATATAAAGAATCGTAAATTTTTGATAACTTGTTTGATCGATACTGCTAAATTACAAAAGTCCTGCGAAGGCTGCTTTATTTTCTTATTTGTCAACGCTAGTTTGGCAACATTTTGCTGGAACCGTTATTTGGGGAAAAGGTCTTAGAATTTTCAATGGCACTCTCTTTTCTCTACTGCAGAAATAGTTCTACTTAATGAGTTAAAATATTTTAGTTTTTCCTGTTGTTTGCTGACTTTGAGAGTTATTGTATAAAAAAATATATTGAGCATTTCTAAACGTGAGGGGCGTATCTTACATGCAAGGAGAACCTAAATAGTTTTATCTGGAATTATTTTTCCACCTGTCCTGCGAAGGCTGCTTTCCTCCCGAACGATATTTGTACGTGCGTGTTCTTAGAAATTCACGATTTGGACAAAACTTGTTGACGTAATGACGTTGGTGATATATTTATAGAAACAAGATGTCAAAAAACGGAACCACCGATATTAACCGACTTTAATGTAGGATATATGAAATTTAGACATTGACCTTTATTGTAGGATATACCAAATTTTGGGATATGAAAAAGCAATTCATTAGCATTCCAATGATACTTATTTAATAACAGAGAGAATTATTGCATTCTATGTTCTTTGTATATTCTTGCATTCTTGCTTGCATTCATTCAAACACCTGTATAAGCTGTAATTAATAATTACCATTTATAGTGCATTACATGACGCATCTGGCAATCTTGCTGTCAACGCTCACCGTTCGTATACGTGATGGCATACTTCTAAAGGGGCACTTGAGTGTGATCACTCATGGCGAGTGGCCTCGTCTCACGAGGGTTTAAATTTTTCACGATCACTTCATATATACTCATTCTTCGTTTTACATTTCCTGAGGCGAGACTATAGTTGGCGTTCAATCTGATAATGGATGTATTAATCTCGGCGCGGAGCTCTGCGCGTCTTCTCTTGATTACCTGTATTTTTATTTATTCTGGCTCAACAAGGGATAACGTTCAAGAACAAAAATTCCACACATTGAGAAGTAAAAGAGCTAGCGATGGCAAGAATTGTATCAGGAATGACACTGAAGTATTTCCTGGGATTGATTGTAACGTTGACAAAAAATATCCATGTCTTAAAAAGATATGCGGCCGACTGGATTTGCTCCAATCGAAGGCATCGATGTGGGAGTGTGTAAAATATGATAGATCACGCAGTGGTAGACTCGGGTGCTTTCTTGATTTTATGCGTGGATATTGGATGGTTTCTAAATGCCCGTCATACTGGCCTTTCAACGAGCTTAAGAGCAAGTGCGAGAATACGCCATCCAACTTCCCGCATCCCGTACAAGAGGATAATATTCCGGTCGTCGGTGAGAATGGCTTGACATATCGTAATAAATATTGCGCTTTCTGTCATGGGGTGGAAAACTTTACTGCTTGGAGAGTTTTGGTTGAAACACGTTTTCAACCTACGGGGGGATATGACCTGGATTCTCAGATAAAGAATAACTCGTTTTTGGCAATTGTCGTTGTACCCAAGCCGAATCAACCACGGAGAATATGTCTCGGAATGAATTATGTACACCACTGCAGTATATCGACTACTAAATTCATTTACAATAAATGTACGAAGGGCCCGGTTAAATTCGTGAAAGGTCGCTACAGTTTCTTTAAAAATAAAGAATGTGCGAGGTGCAATGGTGTTTTGTCCTTTTCACCTTTTCGTGGTTTTAAACCATGCATAGTCACATACAGTTTGGTGTCATATTCACTCGTTTTTAAATTAAGAAAAGTGAGCGCACTACGGAAAGCGAGAACTGTCGTCGCACAAAGTTGCCCCCCTGGTACAGTCTATGACAGAACTCTAAAGATCTGTCGAAATAAGTTGATGATTCCTTCCAGTCGTAAACTAACCAATGAGTATTTATTTCTATTATGGCTCAAAAAGACTACATATGTGAAAAGATATTTCAAGTTAGCGTTGATTTCTGAATTTTCGCTTACACCCTATCAAGTTTCAAATATTGCTTTTCACAATCAAGGCACAATGAACAATGAGTGCATCGTTGCAACATTTCATCTCACACTGACGCCATTTCAAAACTTAATAATGGATAATAAACGAAACGCCCTAATGAACATAACAGATGACGAGAAAGCATTTTTAAAACTCTTCAACTACAGTGGAAATTTTACCCTTCGTTGGAAAAATAAGAGTTTTGCTGTGGTCAAAATGGCTTCAAAACAACTTTCTTGTTATGGTGAAGTGAAATTTCAATCAGATGAATACGAAATGAATGAGAGCAACACAAGCTTTGTTGTAATAAAGACGGGGAAAGTATTCTCATTAAGGGATTATACTTTAGTTAAAGAAAATAAAGGCAATATTACTTTGTGTCGTAAACTGGTCGTTCCAGACTGTACAGAAGGTGCTTTTGTTCCTTTAAAACCAAACGAATACATGGTTTTTCCCAATTTGTCTGTTTATCACAATGCAACACAAAATATGTTCAATTTTGGCGAATATCTAATCAGTATAAAGAAAAA